TCCTCCTCTCACCACTGAAGTTTTTAATATTGCATTGCCCCTGCAACCACAGAATCTGCCTCGTGTCTGTTTTGTCCTTGCCGGAGCAAGGCAACTCTGTTTGTCTTCCTCCAAAGCGTCTTCTAACAACAGTTACGGTAATTCTCAGACTTGGGCAGCTGTATGGCTGGTTTCCACAGATTGCTCTGTTGTGGGTCTCCCCCCCTTCAGTGGACGTTCGTATTTTCCCATTTATAAATGTTAACTTAAAGTCCCACACCCATTCCTTGCACGCTCCTGTATGTGTGCTGCACACCACTTTGCATAGCCAGCCCCTCATTTTGACACATGCGTATTCCTGTTACGTTCCTGTGTCTCCTTTCGGTGAAATAAACATGGTGTTGCTGTTGCTCCTGATCTCTGTCTCTTGTGGTGTTTGGCCGGTGTACAGTAGCTCTGCTGTTGCCTCTCTCTTTCCTTCTCGCCCACCTGGGCTTGGTTTTCATAACCAGCTGGCTCGCGTGGCAAAGCTTCTTTAAAGACCTAAACCGCTACAGGCAATAGGGGTGAGGAACAGGGTAGTCATCAAGGGAGCAGGGAATGAATGAAACTATAGCAACGTTTCCTGATGCCGAATGAAATTGAGGGGCACCAGTGCAAAGAAGGAAGGTGGCACCACGCAGACACTGCGGGGAGCGATTCTGCTTCAAATACCATGGTGGTCAAATGGAAAGTAAGGTTATATCTAACTTTCCTAACTTGTGGCTGTTGGATCAATCCATCAACCTCTGATGGATGAGAAGGATTGGGTCCGGCATTACTTTGGCTGTGCATGTGTGCCAGTATCCATACTTGGCAGAGTCACATCTCAACGCAGCTCCTTCCTTGGAAGTGTCTTGGAAGGGGTTGAAGGTCCACACAGGAGGCGATAAACACTCATGGACGCCAAGTGTAGAGGTTTACTTGACAAGCATAAAAGCATATTGGCAGCAAATATATACAGACATTCCCCAATGGTCGTGGTCAAGGCATGCTTAGAGTCCAACAAGAGTACAAGACACACTGCTTCTCTCACCGCAAGGTGCAAGCAAGAGATTCACAGAACCATTGTTATCAGTACTTCATGCCACACTGTGCATGTCCAAAGAACAGTTCCCACAGAAAACGTCCTTGCATAGACAAAACAATCTCAGCCCTCTGCTGCTTCTTGAAACTTCTTCTCCGCTCTTCTGTGTTTCTGGAACAAATGGTTCTCTCTCACACAGAATATCCAACAGTGGCTGTGTTTCTATGCAGCCCCCGCCACCTGCTTCAGCCAGTAGGTTTTGTTGACTTTCAATAGGTTTTGTGGTGCCTCTTCGCTTCCTCGTTTCATAACTATTTGGAGCAAGGGTGGGGACCTGTGCTGCGTCAGGCATTGTGCTTCCTGTCGTACACCCATCAGCTCCAGCCAGCCTGGCCAGTGTTCAGGAGTGATGGGGGATGTAGTCCAGCAACAACTGGAGGACCAAGGGTCCCCAATTGGTGGGGATAGCCTTAAAATGTTGCATTAGGCTACCATCTCAGAACCGGTATCCTCATGGGGGAGCAAAAAAGTCGTGTAGGGTTTTTTTCAGTCTGTTTGTGCATTATACAGAAACAGGACTGGGCTGTGGTCTCATACATACACACCAACTGGTGGATAAATCCTGCAGCTTTGGTCCATTTCTGCTAGAGCAGTGTTTCTCAAGCTTGGGTCTCTTGCTGTTGTTGGACTACAACTCCCATCATCCCTTAGCTATCAGGACCAAGTGGTCAGGGATGATGGGAATTGTAGTCCAAAGACAGCTTTGGGAAACAGTGTTAGAGGCTGAGTGTCAACGTGTTTAGGGCTATTCCTGGCCTAGAGGCAGTGGGATAAGGGGCTGCAGTTACATGGTTTTTCCACTAGAGGTAGGAATGGGCAAGTGGGAAAAGCTGAAAAGCAAGCACGCTAAGCTTTGGGGAAATGGGAAGTGAAATAGCTTCATCTGACCACCAGGTGGCTGCAGAGATTTGTGGCAAGCGCTGCCTGCTTTGTGGAATGTTCCTTCCTTACTCAGTGGTACATGAATGTCCAGTCCAAATGCTCAGAAGCCCCCTTGTTGGATCCCACTTCATGCATTCCAGGTTGAGGTGTGTGTGTTTTAAAATAACTGGTTCTAGAATTCAGCCCTGGGAAGCATTGATTCAAATTAGGCACAAACTAGTACACCTCTGTACATGCACAAGACATTTGAGGATCAGACCAGCCTCCATGCCCTGAGCCACTTGAAATTGGTTTGTAGTAGATGCAGATTAACCCAATTTAAATGCTGCTTGATGCCTTGCGGCTGAGCATGGGCACAGACTGCACTGAGAAGAGTCGGGGCCTGGAAGTTCTGTCCGTGGTGCTGGATCTGTGATGGTGCATCCACAGTCACAAGTCATTTCCTTCATGTGGTTGATTAAAATACGCATATCTTGCCTTTTGGCTCTCATGTCTGTTCAGGGTGTTACGGGTGAAGCTGCCTGTTACTACTCCATAGGGCCTGGGAGGGGCCCACACAGACTTATGTCATGGTGGCAAGTTGTCAAGTGTTGAGTATGGGCTCAAGACATTTTGCTGGCTGCGCAAAGTGGTTGCTGCCCCCGACTCCATTCCACCTACTAAACGAGATGGGCAGTTGACTCCTTAGTGATGAGGTACTGCCCTCCATTACAAGGGTGCATGTAGGACCCATTGCTGTGTACGCCAGCAGAGGGTAGGAGCTCAGAAGATGGCCATTTCTGCCTGCCCCCTCAGGATCCGCTGCCCGAAGCAGTTACCTCATTCCGCCTGATGGTAGGGCTGGCCCTTCCCCACTGCCTGTTGTGCTACAGCAAGGGTAGCCATCTTGGCCGACCCATATCCACCTACCAATCACCTAACATTACATATTACATATGCGGGAGGCAGTGGAAGACAGGAGTGCCTGGTGTGCTCTGGTCCATGGGGTCACGAAGAGTCAGACACGACTAAACGACTAAACAACAATGGGGCAGGCAGCTACAAAAGCATCTGCCCTGGAGTGGCTGGCTGACAGGTGGGTTGCCCTGCTGTCCACAGGAAGGGAATTACTCGCATGGAGTGCTGCAGACAAATAACAGCCCCTGTATCACCACCTGTCTATTGATGGGGACATCTGGAGAAGGGCATTAGGAGATGAGCTGAATACCTGAGCAGCCTGAAATGGAAGCAGGCATCCCTTTATGTACCTGTGTTCCAAATGTTTAGTGTTTTATAGGTAAGGAGACTCTGCCCAGGAGATATTGTAGATGTCCTATCAGCCAAAGCTCTTAAAAAGCACGCTAAGCCACCAAATCTGCTTGGGCCTCAATGACAAAACTAGATCTAGAAGCACATTCAAGCTGCACAGCAATCCTTTTTCTGGGGAACTTCACCTGGAATTAGGGAATTCCTCACCCCCTGAACCACCATCTTGTCAGGATTTAATTTGTTGACTGGGCCTCAACCAGGCCATTACTTTTTTATTATTATTGTTTTATTGATTTGCACATAAGCCCAAAGTTTAGAAAAGCAAAATAAATAAATATTAATACTTTACTGATAACCCCAAAGAATGGCAAACACCAAAATGACAGGTTGGACTTTGGCAAACTTAACTGGATTGACCGTCCTGGAGATGGGGAGGTGGGTCTTTTTGGTAATTGTTATATATTGGAAATCAGTAAAACTGTATTTTGGAAGAAAAAAGAAATCTCCCAAAGTATAATACAATGTATAACAATATAACAAAAAAGGCCATAAGTATATTGTATGGTTTTTGTAATTGTCAGGGGAGTCAACAAACATTAATAAATAATAGTGTCCCCGGGTGTTTTGAAAAGAATCACATAGTCTAGTCTTTAACTGATTTGGAGGGACCATTCAGCCCACCCACTGCCTTGCTTGACTTACAGTGTCATGCTATAAATACCTCCTCAGAAATGGGGCCTAATCCCAGATAAGACGGAGTGGGTAACAAGGAGAGACACAGCTGGCTTGTCAGCATTCTGGTGACATATCAGATCTGGACCTAGTTTGTAGTGTCTACCTGGCCCCTACTGAATTGGCCAGGCATGTCTTTTGATGGAAATCAGGCTGGTATAATTCCCATCTGGAGATCCTAATTGTTATGTGAGGAGGGCTGTTAGGTGAGAAGTCCACCTGTTGAGTTCTGTTATTTGGCCGGGTAAAAAAAAATAAGTTGAAAGGCGATTTGTAATTATCTTCCTTTATGTAAGGGGGGGACCCAAAAAACATTTGTACCTTGAAACGTGCTTTAGGAAGGGCAAATAAGGGTGTTTCAGAGGCAATTTTTACCTCAAAATTCATTTCAGTGCCGTTTCCCAGCATACCTACCTGCCTCTTGGTATAGCACACCCTCGGTGCTTGTGGTTGCAAAGACTCAATTCTAGTGCCTATTCACACACCCACTTTCCTTTTTCAAGCACAATCTCGTCAGAGTGATAATTTCATGGCTTGCCAGGGGTCACAAGCCCCTCTCCATTCTGCCTGAGTTAATTAGCGGACCCCATGGCAGAAAGTGGCAAAATCCATCAGGTGACCTTGGCAAACAGAGGCAGTCGAAAGTTAATGTTCCTGGCACTCCCCTGAGAATTTTAATGAAGGTGGCCCCAAGTGGAGAAATGGAGGGGTTCCGGTAATAATTGCCTCTGGCCGCATTGGAACAGGCCAATCCAAAGGTGTGAGGCCTTATTGATTACCAGTGGAGGGATTTTCATCTTGGGGTTCAACAGAAAGGACAGCACGTCCAAGAAGGAAACAATTTAGTCCTGTACAGAGCTTTTGCTCCCTCAGTCCGCTTCTGGCCTTCTCTGGAAGTTTCTTAAGCTAGGCCGGCCCTACCATTTGGCGGGTGCTGCAGGTGCAGAGCAGCGACACAGTGTCAGAAAATGGAACTGTCTTTGCTGTTGAGTGTGCCCTGCACCCCCTTAACTTTGACCCTTGCTTCTCATTTCCCTCATACCCACAATGCTTTGCGCTTTTTTGGTGTTCTTTGTTTTTATTATAACCAGTCTCTTTAGTAATGTTGAGGTGGCCAAGAGGCTCCGGAATTTGGGTTCTCCTTTCTCTCCGCTCAGCGTTTCTTTCCTTTGCCCCGGGACCTGGCATCTCGGCTCTTGCTCCTCTTCCGCCTCCCCCAGGAGCAGGATCTGATGAGGGAGATAATCTTGCTGGGCCTCCGGCTTGAACCTGCGGAGGGAACAGGAAAAGGAAGTAGACACATGAGTCCCTGGAGCACAAGGGCCTGCTCATGGACACAGCGTGCAGGCAAACAAGGAAGTGGGAGAGATGGAAAGATCAGGCAGGCAGGGTTAGGAGCCTGAGTTGAAAAAGAGAGACCCATTAACTTAAACTGGGTTAATAGCCATTTCCTCCTCTTAGAGAAATATGGGAATTGTAGTTCTGTGATGGAGAGGAGGGATAGTGTAGGCCTAATCCAGGCATGAGAAGCTTGCAGCCTTCCAGATGATGTTGGTCTCCAGCACCCATCATCTCAAGCCAGCATGGCCTAGTGGGTAGAGAAGTCAGGAGTTGGGGGCTACCAACATCCTGAGCATGTGAGAAGGTCTGAGCTGGTTGCTCCATGATCAGACCACATGGCTTTAACAAGCCATTCTTGTGTTCCTATACCACTTGGCTTCTGTAACTAAGCCAGGCTTTCCTGCCTTTGCAACATTTTCTGAATGCTGTGTGGAAGAGCACATGAATCTGACCTTCAGAGAGTTTGTAAGTAAACCATTTTAATGTGGTCTTTTTCTATGCTGGGGGAAGAGGAGACTATTTTGTAACTCACAAGGGCATATATTAAAGGTTCAACAGTCTATATTTCCACGTTTTCCTAGCTGCATATTTTGTGATTTTAAATCTCTGCTGAGGTTCTCCCACCAAATAATAATTGCCCCAAGCCGAGATCTAGGCAGCCATTGAATTCTCCTTTTATACCTATTTTCCCCCGTTGTCACCAACAGGTAGGGCGTAAGGCAGGAGGCCAACAGTAGGGGGAGCTAGAGTCAATGATGGGCAGAACCAACTAATTCTGGTTTTGCCTACATCTTCATCCCTGCTGATGTCTATAAGGACAGCACTGAAACTAAGGAGGAGGAAGCTGATAGGAAACTGGTTGTAAGTAAGAAGGCAAAAAAATGGAGTCTCGCTGAAGACAGACTGAACATTGAGCCTGGAGGCTCAGCCTCCACTGTGGGGCTTTATAGTGGCCTTTGAAGGGCTGCATGGCACTGGTCTGGCTTAAAGAAGAAGCCTAAGAACAGAGACTTGATGTTGCCCATCAGCAGTGAACACCTGGGCAGCAGACTGAACCAGGGGCACTGGTCACACTATGGCGAGATGCATTTCTCTTTAAGCAACCATAGTGACAAAACTGTGGCCTGTTTTATCCTCATCTTTGGCAATGCAAGAAGTGGCCATCCTAAGTTCAGAACCTAAGCAGGGCTGGTTATCAGCTAGAGTAGGAAGGTGATTGATAGGAGCCACCAAAGGGCAGAACTGTCAGAACATTTAGCATCTCTTACTTCTCCGGGGAGACTTCCTTCTGCTACTTCTGCTCTTACTGGATTTCCTGAAACGAGAACAGCCCGTCAAGACCACTCCATCCAATGACATCACACAATTCCCTACGGCCACCATGGGAAATTTCCCCAGCTTTGGATCCCTGGGAAAATTTAGTTACCTTGCAACCTTATTTTTTAGGATGCAAGCAGGCTTGCCTTCAATACCCGCCCCCTCTGGTCTCCTGGTTTCTTAACCCACTAGATGCACGCCCACAACCAGTAACATATGTATACTGGAGGTGAAACCTACCTAAAGGTTGTCCAGACTTCCTTTCACACCATGTTTCCAGGCACAGATCCAGGCTCTAAAGCTCTGTGATGGAAACGGGTGTTCTTCTGCCCTATCGCTTTCCCCAGGAAAAACCACATTTTACCACTGAGTTGGAGCAAATGGCAATCAGGTTTTCTGCCAGTTGCCATTTGCTCCAATTCAGCATTAAAATGTGGGTTCTCAGGGCCTGGATAGCTCAGTTGGTGAGAGCATGCATGGTGCTGATAACACCAAAGTTGCAGGTTCGATCCCCGTATGGCTCAGCTGCAGATTCCTGCATTGCAGGGGGTTGGACTAGATGATCCTCAGGGTCCCTTCCAACTCTACAATTCTATGATTCCATGAAAGCGCCGTGATAACAACTGCTTGGACAGGGAGCTTTAAAGTGCAGGCCTGGGCCTGGAAAGCATGGCACAAAAGGAAGTCCAGATGAACCCTAAGTCCGAAAATCAGTTTCAACATTTGATGTGTTTCAATTTGGGGTGGTTGCAACTCAGCTTTCAGGGGGCCACAAAACAAACAACCCAACTCTGAAATCTGTTTTCCAAATTGCAGTGCTATAACGCTGTTTGTCAAATCCAATACTGAATAGTAATTCTGTTCTAAAAGTTGTGTTTTAGGTGTTAAGACACCCTGGGATCTGTATGTGGAAGGTTGGGATAAAGAAATAATAATAATGAAAATAAAAATAAGCAATAAGCAATAAAATACATTTCACTGTTTGATTAAATAACCAATAGATACTGGTTTGCTAATCCCCAATCGTAGGGTGGCACTATGGGTTAAACCACAGAGCCTAGGACTTGACGATCAGAAGGTTGGCGCTTCAAATCCCCATGACGGGGTGAGCTCCCATTGCTCAGTCCCAGCTCCTGCCGACCTAGCAGTTTGAAAGCACCCCAAAGTGCAAGTAGATAAATAGGTACCGCTCCAGCGGGAAGGTAAATGGCATTTCCGTGTGCTGCTCTGGTTCGCCAGAAGCGGCTTAGTCATACTGGCCACATGACCCGGAAGCTGTACGCCGGCTCCCTCGGCCAATAAAGCGAGATGAGTGCTGCAACCCCAGAGTCGGCTACGACTGGACCTAATGGTCAGGGGTCCCTTTACCTTTTTAATCCCCAATCATTCCTAGTCCAACAACATCTCAGAGGTTTACAGGTGCCACCCTTCCCCGTTTACAGGCTGAAATGACTTGCATCTTCCAGGTTCCTAAAGGGTTTGGTTGACTACCAAGTGATGGTGGTGGCTCTCAGTGGTATCCCCTGCAATCTTTTCAGCAACTTTATGGCTGCGTACAAACAGCACACATTTAAAGCATGTGGCTTTCCCTCAAAGAACCCTGGGAGCTGTAGTTTGTGAGGGGTGCTGGGAATTGTAGCTCTGTGAGAGGTAAGTTGCCATTCCCAGGGGGTGCGCATGCGTGCCTAGGGAAATGCGCTTTCAATGTCTGCTATGTACGCAGCCTCTGTATGGTGCCTGGCCTCAGGGCACTCAAATCAGCTTCACAGTCGAGTGGGGATTTGAAGCCAGGTCTCCCACTGTCCTGGTCTGTTGCTCTGACCACTACACCCCACTGCCTCCCAGTAGTTGCTTGCTCTCTCTCTCTGCTGCTTTTCAAAACATTGTGTTTGAGCTGGAGTGCTGCAAATTTCAGCTCCCTTAACACTCCTCCCCTCTCCCAAACAAGCCCTAACCCAGTACCTGCTCATCCTAGGGCTCCTCTCAGTCCTCTCGGGCTGACTGCCCTGACTCCTGGTGCTGGGCGGGCGCTCCAATGGCTCTGGCACCCCCAGGTCCTCAAACTCAGTTGTCCTTCCTTCGCTTTCAAATGGAGAAGGGCTGGGGGCTCTGGAGCTGGGCTGGCTCCCCATTGAGAAAACCAGGCTGCGCCTGCTCCTGACGTCCTCTTGGGCAGGGCTGCGAACTTCAGCGGGTGAATAGATACTACGGATGCTCACGGTTTCTTCTAGGTTTAAGGATCTCAGGCTCTGGGGCAGAGAGATGGATCAGGACTGTTGAACGCACTACCAAATAATTCTAACCCTTATCTTCACAATAACCCTGTCAGGTAGGTTCGGCTGAGAACCAGTGGCTGGCTCAAGGGAACCCAGCGAGCTTCATGGCTTTGGGACTGGAACCCAGGTCTCCCAGGTGCTGGTCCAACACTCTGACCAGTACACCACACTGCCGGGGTCTGGAGTGGGCTGTAGTCTTGGAAGCAAGGTTCAAATGCAACATTTCTGTGTGCGCAATTGGCACATGAGGGCCCACACACTCCTGTCTCTTCCCTCATCATACCTATGGCTATTCCATCACTTGCCATCTACACCAATGGGTGGAGCAGCACAGAAAATATCCCAGGTGTGTGCGTGTGTGTGTGCGTGCTGTGTTGTGTGTGTGTGTGTGTGTGTGTGTGTGTGTGTGTGTGTGTGCTTTGTGTGTGTGTCCCTTTCCACCAACCATCCCCTCCACCCAGCTTACGGAATCAATCTGCCGTTTGCTCTTTCTTTAAAAAAGCAGAAATGTTCATACAAATCTGATTTAACAGACTCCTGCAAGAGCTGTAAGAGAAGCAACCTGATTTGGGGGCTGCTTCGTGTTCTTCGTGATATGTGAGTGCATGTACCAAGCTGTTTGTAAATTAAAAGATAACTCCTCTCTCTCGCTCTGCCTTTTCTCCAACGGATGTCCAACCAGCTTAAAGCATCCAAGGATCGAATTGTGTTGCTAAGAGGTGGGAGGGGAATCAAATCAGTTCTGAGTGTCTTCTTACTGCTTCTCCCTGTTTTTCCCACCCTAGGCCTCTCCCATGAGCTTCCAGCAGCATCGGAGATATTGGTATGGCACAGAAAAAAGGGGACATGGAGAAGGCAGAAGGCAGCAAGGGTAAGGTTACCAGACATCCCCATTTCCCGGGGACAGTCCCCAGATTTACAAATCAGTCCCTTGGCAAAACCCATCTATTTAGTAGTGTCCCCGGATTCATTGGAAAAAATCTGGTAACCTTAAGCAAGGGGGCATGGAGACATGGGGAAGGGCTGTAGCTGAGTAGCAGAGCATCTGAAGAAGGTTCCAGGTTTGATCCCAGCATCTTCCTGGAGGCCTGGGAGAAACCCCTCTCAGCAATCCTGGATAGCTGCTGCCAGTCAGTGTAGGTAATACTGAGCTAGATAGACCCGTTTCCTGTGCTCATGTTGCCCTGCAAAGTGTCTTGTATAGCGATTACACAATATAAACAGAAGGAGTTGCACACCTGTGCCCTATCGGTCAGGGCCTCCCCAGACCCCCCAGGGTCTTCGCTTTTGCTGTGCAATAGGGGCCCTTGGTCCGAGGGTGGCCGCAGCATGTTGACCACCTTGACCCACAGTTTGAAGACATCTTCTTTCGCGCCAGGCTGGGGGCAGAGCTGCAAGTAGAAGGTGCGGCCACTCGCCAGCTTGAATCGCAGCTGCTTCTTCTCTGCGTTGTGGAGCGAGATCTTGACAAAATGCAGAGGGATAAGCCTGTAGGCGGTGGAAAGGAAGAATTAGGGGCATGATTCAGTTTGGGCGCTGATTCAGCACGTACAAAAACAGCCCCAATTTGGTCCAAACAGCTTCAGAAGGTGTCTGATTCAGTTTGGAGTCCGAAACTGAACCCCAATTAAGAAAGACATGAAGTTTTTGTGCCTCCCAGTTCACTATTAGTGAGGAAAATGAAGAAATGGTTTTAGCCTCTCTCTTGTTCTCTGTTTGGCAGAACTGGATGAACTTTGCAAGCATAGCCTGGATGGATAAATCCCACCAAATTCTAGACAAATAGGTCCAGGGTTCTTCATCTATTTAAAAAACCAACAAATATTTCTGCACTGTCAGGCTGCTCTCTGCAATCCCTTTCAAGCAGGTGAGGCTTGTCTAGTAGCCGGTAGCCAACAACCATCAAGACCGCTGAGTAAACACCTAGCAAATGATACAAAACCCTCCAGAAATGGTCATGGTGCACATTCAAAGCAGGTGCTTGTAACAATACAAAATTGCCTCTGTTTTTCCTCCCTTTACCATACAAAACTGACAACACACACACACACACACACACACACACACACACACAGGCACAGCTCCACCTGCCACCTTCCATTCCTAGATGACCTTGGTTGCTCATTAATCAGCATGCATTGTTAGTAGCCAGCCCACCAAGAAGGATAGCAAACCCTTCCAGGAAAAGTTGGCCAAGAGGGGTGGGAGACAGAGAGCCTCTGCCAATCAGTGTAGACAGTCCTGGGCTAGACGGACTAATGGTCTAACTCAGCATGGCAGTTTGCTGTGGACTTGGGGACTGAGGAATCCAAAGAGGACAGGAAGCAGAGCTGAATCGAAGCCACGCTCAGTCACGGAAGCTGTCAGCTGTGCCAAAGCTACTACTCTCCTACCTGCCAGTAGCTGACTGTCTGCCCACGGTCCTTGCCTGCCTTTGAATCTGAGTATTAAATGGGAGCTGTTAAATTAAATCAGTGCTGTTCACCCCACTTCTCCAAGCAGCAAGGATGTTCCAGAGATGCAGTGCTTGCCTGGGTTCAGTTTCCTTTGGAAGGAGGCCACTTGTTGCATTTTTTATTATTATAAATGTACAGGTTGAGCATAGGTGGAGGAGGACCGGACAGCCAAAACTGTCCTCCTCCAGCAAGGCAGTTAGCACCCGAAAGTGCTCCCAGAGTTTACAGCTCAGTTCTCTCTCCCTCACCCCATTCTGACTCATTCAAAATTTCAGTCTGTAGCCCAAAATGCTTGTCCTGTTCTCCACTCACACATAGCATGCCTGCTACCTTTCACTGGAGGGGGGATGGAGAAGGATAACGCAACTTCTCCAAGCATCACCTAATCACCTTGGACAAGTTTCCCTGTCCAAAAGATCAGCCTGACAACTTTGCTGCAGTACAATGAATCATAGAATTATAGAGTGGGGCGGGACCATGAGGGGCGTCTAGCCCAGGGGTCAGCAAACTTTTTCAGCAGGGGCCAGTCCACTGTCCCTCAGACCTTGTGGGGGGCCGGACTATATATTGGAAAAAAGAAGAAAAAAAGAATGAATTCCTGTGCCCCACAAATAATCCAGAGATGCATTTTAAATAAAAGGACACATTCTACTCATGTAAAAACCCACTGATTCCCGGACCACCTGTGGGCCGGATATAGAAGGCGATTGGGCCGGATCTGGCCCCCAGGCCTTAGTACTCCAACCCCCTGCAATGCAGTAATCTTTTGCCCAATGTGGGGCTCAAACCCACAAATCTCATTAAGAGATTAAGAGTCTCATGCTCTACTGGCTGAGCCATGAGCCGTGATAAAGGACACCACCATCATAATGAGTACCGTACTTTTCCGTGTATAAGACTAGGTATTTTTTAATTTAAAATTATGCTAAAAAGTGGGGGGGGGTCATCTTATACATGGATAGTGCATAGGTTCCTGCCGTGGCTGTCAGCGGCTATTGGGCGCGTTATTGGTTGCTGCATCAATAGCTGGTGTCGATTGGCTGATGCTGTGGCAATTGGGCAGGTGATTGGCAGCTTCTGCCGGTGAGGGGACAGATGAGAGGTGGATTTTGCGACGTGTGTGGGTGAGCGATTTTAGGCATTCCCCCCCCCCAAAAAAACAACTCTGTGCTATCTCCCCTCGTTTTCTTAAATTGGAGTCCCCAAAAATAGGGGATGTCTTATACACGGAAAAATACAGGGAAAAAATCCAGCAGGTCCCAGGGCACCTCATGACAATTTAAAATTCAGGATTAAAAACAGTTAAAACAGATTTCAGAAGTCATAGTTTGGTCATTTGGGTTCTATCAACCCTATCCTGTCCACCCCCACCCCAAACTCACCCTTGTAAGATTGCCAACCTTTTAAAAAAGGGATTGCGAGAGTCTTCAGTCCAGGAAAAGCTGTGGCGTAACAGGCAGAAATGAACAAGTGAAGCTTTTTTTTTACAGCCTAGAGATACCATGAACACTTCACCTATGAGTTTGACCTGTTCAAGTTGCAGCATCTCTATCCATTAAAAATGGTGGCCTGTCTTATGTTACGAAGCCTTGAAAGGCATTGCAGCATCTGCAGGATTTTCTGTATGGAGCTGGGAGCTGGGCTTACCTGGTGAGCTCTAATCCCAGCGACGAGGAAGACTGGCGGAGCAAGGTTTTAAACTTCTGGGGCGTCTCTTCGGGAAGGCAGGTGGGGCGAGCCAGAAGCAGCACATTGGGAACCGTCATGCTGGAGGAGGTGCAAGCAACCCCGACAGTCACGGTCTGGACTTGGTTGTGCACGTCAATCACCTCTCCTCGTTTGTTAATCTGCAGAGAGCAGGAAAGGGCAGTGGCAGATATACAGGGCCTCATTCAACAGAATGAGCAGGCACTGATGGTGTATCACATCGTAAGTCTTTCATAAAACCATCTCAAGAAGGGCGGTGCCTGAGACCTCACTGCGCCACTCAGAATGCTGTTGGCATCAACAGAGCATAAAAGTAAATTCCTGGAATGTTTTGTTTCCTCAGTTTTCTGACAGGCCAACTCAAACAAACTTTATGAAAGCTGCTCAGCCTAAGCAGCCACACCCCAGTTGTTCTGGGTTCTTCTTGTTTAAATACTGTGTGGAAACCACCATCAATTAACTGAATCTTTGGTGGCCACCAGTGTTTTAAGAAGTCTAGCTTATGGCTGGGATCCAAAGGATTGCTTCAGATATGACCAAAAGACTGGCAATTATGCCCAGTGAAGTTGACCACTTTTAAGCAAGTTGGTGCTTCTCCCATATTACAAACCTTATGAGGAATGGTTGAGGGAGTTGGGTATGTTTAGCCTGGAAAAGAGGAAAACGAGAGGAGATATGATAGTCACCTTCAAATATCTTAAGGATGGAAGATGGAGCAAGCTTGTTTTCTCCTGCTCTGGAGAGTAGGATTTAAACCAATGAATTCAAGTTACAAAAAAGGAGATTCCGCCTAAACATCAGGAAGAACTGCATTGACAATAAGACTCCCATGAGAGGGGGTGGAGTCGCCTTCACTGGAGGTTTTTAAGCAGTGGTCGGATGGCCATCTGTCACAGATGCTTTAGCTGAGATTCCTACATAGGTTCACCATTAGTTTCTGGGGGGTGGAAGATGTCAGATCGATTGTGTGTCATTTATGTTTTAAGTAACCTTAACATTCAGTATGGCAAGTTCCATTAAAAAAGCGATAGAGGAAAGAAAAACAGCTTTGGACACACTGCTTACTATTGGCATTCTTCAGCAGATATTTGCTGAACAAATAAAATCTTACAGATCAGAGACAAATGAAATGAGGAACGAAATTAAGCCAGAGATGAATGAAATGGGAAAAGGGATCAGAAATGATATAGATGCTCTAGACAACGAAAAACTGGGAAGACTGAGAGATGAAACCATGGCAAAACTAGAAAGAGCAACTATTGAAATGGAAGAACCCACTATACAAGTGTATGGAGAAATGAAGCAACCAAATGATAAAGCTGAGATTTTGGAAAACAAAAATAAAGTTCTAAATGGAGAGATGCGGAGTTATCTGGATAATCTGACATCAATGGAATTGAGAGAGAAAGAGTTCTACCTATGACTTGGAGTGATCCCAGGGGATAAAGCAATTTTTCATTTATTTGTTTTTTGGAAAAAGAATGGAAGAAACACAAGTGGAAGAATCAATACTAAATAAGGCTGGAAGAATATAGCAAATGCAACATGAAGTGGAAACTAAAGATACAGAACTGGGTGTGGACCAATGGATAATAAGAAAAGGATTATGGAATATTATCTCAATATATGATCACAACGGAGAGACTTTTACATGAGCAAATAGGGGAAAGTTTGTCATTAGTTAATAAGGAGTCATGGTTGCTGAAATTGTTGGAGGCAAAGTTGATATGTCTTTCCTACAGAGGAAACCAAAGAGTGCTGCATTCTCAAACCTATTTAGGCTTCTCTTGTAGGCAGGTTTTCAATTAAAGTCTCCACCTGCTTAACAACATATGGAGTGGTCTTAATTTGGAAGCTCTCTTTCCACAAGGAGGATCGGGACAAATTTCAGTGAGTCCTGCCTTCAATTTAATTAATTAATTAATTAATTAATTAAATAAATGTGCTTGAGAAAGAGAGGGGAGCTTCTGAATGTAACAACAAGCCGAAGCTGATATGCTTAAAAAGAAGAAGAATCAGAATAAGGAAATCTAAGCTGTTTTGCAGAAACATAACACAAATTACTCTTGTCCTGCCTGTCAGGCACTCGCTCTGAAGTCTGAAATTGCTGCATAGGATAATAAGGGCCTATAATGACTGCCAGTTAACTGCTTTTACATCTCCGTAAGAACGGGGAAGATAATTTAAGGGAATGTGAGTAACGTGCCACCCTACATTTCACAAATGAAAGCAGGGACACACTTGGAGGAGGAGGACGGCTGTCGCTGAGTGGGTAGAGCACCTGCTTGGCATGCAGAAGGTCCCAGGTTCAATCCTTGGCATTTCCACATAGGCCTGGGAAAGGCTCCCTGTCTGATACCTCAGAGAGCTGCTGCTAGTTACTATAAATAATAACTACGCGGATGGACCAGTGGTCCAATTTGGTCTATTATTTGATTGATTGATTACCTGCCCTTCACCCTAAGCTCCCAGGGCAAGTTGCGGCATAAAAACACAATATAGAAACAATTCAAAACAACTAGCAACCATAAAAATAAGTTGGGTCTTATTTTGACGCCTCAAGTATCAAAAGCTGAGGTAAAAAGGCACGTCCTTAGCTGTATATAATGACGGTGACGCACCTTTCACACACATTTCTCTGATGAAAATAGAGACATCCTATTTCATCATGATAATTTTACTATTTATACCCTGCCCATCTGACTGGGTTGCCCCAGCCATTCTGGGCGACTTCTAACATATATGAAAGCATACTAAAACATTAAGCATCACAAAGATTCCCTATACCCTATGCCTTCAGGTGGCTCAGGGGTCGGGTAACTCCATACCCTCCAACATTTCTCTGAGGAAAATAGGAACGTCCCAAGGAAAAGTGGAATATTCTGGGATCAAATCAGAAACCAGGACAGCTTCTGTAAATCCAGGACTGCCCCTGGAAAATAAGGTAAAAGGTATAGGACCGCTGGACAGTTAAGTCCAGTCAAAGGCAACTATAGGGTTGCGGCGCTCATCTTGCTTTCAGGTCGAGGGAACTGGCGTTTGTCCACAGACAGCTTTCTATGTCATGTGACCAGCATGACTAAACCGCTTCTGGTGCAATGGGACACCATGACAGAAACCAGAGCGCATGGAAACGCCATTTACCTTCCCGCCGCAGCGGTACCTATTTATCTACTTGTACTGGTGTGCTTTCAAACTGCCAGGTTTGAATTTTTGAACCTGTTTTCCCTGGAAAATAAGGATATTTGGAGGGTCTGACCTCTGTGGGGAGGGAGTTCCACAGTTTGGGGGCTGCCACAGAGAATATCTTCTCCCAAGCTGCTACTCTCTCCCCACCCCAAGCAACAGAACTACTAATAGGGCCCCCTCCACCAGTCTCAGCACCCAAGAAGGGCTATAGGGAATGAAGGCCGGAGCCCCCAAAGCAGCTTCGTATCTATAAATTTGCAGCTGCCATATTCCCACACAGAAAGTACTTGAGGTATTGCCACAGCTCTCAACTCTGCATTGGTTTTTCTTTTTCATTTTAAACCCAGCTATATTCAATAACTCTGCAACAGCTGGTTCTACACTAGCTTCTAAAGCAGGGCTTGTTAGTAAACTGATCAAAGCAGTGTCCCTTAAACAAACAAACAAACAAACAAGAACATTTTATCTCCCGTGGATCTGGCCGTGTTAATTGCAGAAGAAATTACAGTCAAACTCATTCAGCGGCAATCTGACAGGTGGTTTTGTGTGTGGCACCGGGGGCAAGCAGTAGCATTTTGTATCCAGGAAGAACTGACTTTGTCATAGCCTGGATCTAAGTCCTATCGTATGATCTAATATTAAAATCACAAAGATGTTGCACTAAGGGGAAAACATCTCATAATTGCTGTTTGTGATAAATGGCTGTGTTTTGTTCTTCAAAACAGGCATCCTCTTTCTGAGCCACAGTTCAAAATGAATTGCATCAAATGCAAAGTGTGAAGTGGGAGACAGTGCACTCGATGTTGCCTTGGTGTTTGTGAATGTGCGTCTGCAGGCAAGTGCGCCAGGGATATAACTTCTAGAGCTGTGGGGAGGGAGTTCCATAGCTTGGGGGGCACCCCAGGGAATGTCTGGTCCTCTGTATATCACACACACCATCCTTCACATCCTGGTTGTGTTGTTCAGCAGGGATGCTGGCAGCACCAGGAAGCAGGAGGGTGGGATTAGGGGCTGCACTGAGGAAGGATAGTCCACAGGCAGATGAGGCTGGTCCATTTGGGTATATGGGGCACTGCCCCCCACCAACCTCAGTCTGGCCAGACACCAGCTGTGTATCAGTTTCTTTCTCCTTAGTCTCAGTGCCGCTACTTGTGGAAGGGTGGAAGAGGGGCAAATATATAATTAGTTGATTCTGCCTCTCATTGGTTCTGGCTCATTAACGCCACCTACTGTTGGTCTCTCCGCCTTCCACCCTATCGGTACCAATGGGCATCAGTCATCGCAGGCTGTGGGTTCCCCACCTAAATTCAACTGGTTTGTCATTCAGGAACAGCAGAAGGTAAAGGCAGGAACAAAAGAGGAACAATGGTTTGCATGGGACAGATGTCAGAATAGGAACCATCCCTAGGATTTAAGAGTCATTTGGGCATCTGTAGTATCAGTTCCTCTGCTGTAGACCACCCCTTCCGTAATGTATGTATGATGTATTGGGGGGTAGTCTTGGGCTACAGGGTGGCAGTTTCAAAAGTCTATACAGCAGTACCTTGGGTTAAGAACTTAATTCGTTCTGGAGGTCCATTCTTAACCTGAAACTGTTCTTAACCTGAGACACCACTTTAGCTAATGGGGCCTCCCGCTGCTGCTGCTGCACGATTTCTGTTCTCATCCTGAAGCAAAGTTCTTAACCCAAGTTACTATTTCTGGGTTAGCGGAGTCTGTAACCTGAAGCGTCTGTAACCCGAGGTACCACTGTATAAGAGCTTGCACACCTTTGTTCTGGGTTCCTCCTCCCTCCTGCATGTGGTGAGTGAGGACCCTGTTGCAACAGTTCAAGAAAGATCAGACTTACTAGCTGCTTTGCTTCTCAATATTCTCTGGTTGCCCTCTGTTATTTTCTCCTACCGACAGGGAACCCCCTTACGGACTCTATACAGTGGTACCTCTGGTTAAGAACTTAATTCGTTCTGGAGGTCTGTTCTTAACCTGAAACTGTTCTTAATTTTAGCTAATGGGGGTCTCCCGCTGCTGCCGCCACACGATTTCTTTTCTCATCCTGAAGCAAAGTTCTTAACCCGAGGTACTATTTCTGGGTTAGCAGAGTCTGTAACCTGAAGCATCTGTAACCCAAGGTACCACTGTATGGGCTCTTGGGTATCCCATAAGGGAAAAGGAGCAGATTTTGTTTACATCATTGTTAAGACTGCCAGCTTTCAAACTCCTCTTGTAAACTATGCTTTTAACAGTTGATTACCCTACAATAGATGATCATGCTTACCATCTCCAAGTCTTAAAAATATTCCCTGGCCGTTTTCTTAAAGTCACGCCCGTGCTAAAAGATCAGAAGTTGTCTTAGATGTTTGCTTACTTTTTAGAAACTGGTCATTGGGCAAGCCTATTTATTTTCCTGTCAGTTCTCCATGCAAAGGCAGAAATTCAACCAGTGAAGCCTGGAGAGGCAACAACGAGAGAGACTTCATCCATTCAGGTTCTGCCTGCCCAGCAGCTATTAAAGGCACAGGAGCTGCTGCTGCTGCTTCTGTTGTTTTTAAAGGTGCAGCCTTAGAGGATAAGGAAGGGCTGATAACACTTGCTAAATGATAAATGCCTAATAAAGAACAACCATTTCACGCAGCCTTGAGCCCCAGAATTTCTCCCTTGGAAGACGAGAAGCTGCCTTATAATGAGTCAGACCATTGGTCTGTCTTGCTCAGTATGGTCTACTGTGATTGGCAGAAGCTCTCCAGGGCTAAAGACAAGGGTCTCTCTCAGCTGTCCCCGTCAGGGGCTGAACCTGGCACCTTCTGCATGCCAAGCATGTGCTTCACCACGGAGCTTCATCCCTTCCCCTATTACCTGAGAGATTAAGTCATCAGGAGAGATGGGAAGGGGGGCGGGCCTAGAGTGGCCATCTTCTTCCTCTTCTTTTAACTTGCTCTGTCCCTGTGCTTTTAGGAGCAGCCTGCCAGGAAGGAAATGAAGCAGCTTCGGTTCTTCCTGTCCTTTTTAATCTCAGCGCTCAAGATATGGCTGCATCTGCTACAATTCTGGGCAGAGAAACACCTCACACATTTCCAGGGCAGGCCTGAAGGGCAAAATGGCGCACGCAAGCCCCTTTCCACATATAGAAGCCAAACAGACAAGCAATTTAATACTGAATAATAATAATAATCAGAGCCAGATTAGGACCTTTAGAGCCCTAAGCACTTAAAAGATTTTAGTGCCCCCATATATATCCAACTCAAAGTATAAATAAAATTTAAAAATGTTTTTCAAAATGGGAATAACCCTACAGTAAGATGGAAAATGATTTTTTTAATATGTATGTATACTTCCACTTTATCTATATTTGAATTTTTTTCCTCCTACTTTTTCCTAATTGCAAATTCTTTGATCGGCTCCTCAAAACTAATCTCACATAACTCATCTGCTTCTATACTCAGTAGAGATAAGGCTAGCTGGTCAGCCTTGTCGCATAGTGGTTCTGCTGGGATTTTTTAGTAGGCTTCAATTGAGAAAATGAATGCTCAGCTGAGCAATCTGTGACCATTCATGTTAAAAATCCAGCCATGGAAAATCTCTGTGGCAACCCACTTCCCTTGTTTCCTTAAGCTTGTGCTTATTTTGCCAACCCTAATACCGTATTGGCCCTTATATAAGCTGCACCCAAATATAAGCCACACCTTGAAAATTGGAGGGGGGGAGAAGAAAAAAGAAAAAACACCCGAAAATAAGCCCCTCCATTCCTCGATGCTCCTGGCTGCATACTGGGGGGGGGCGGGGAGCTGCGCTGTATTGCCGGCAGCCTTTCTCCTTCCTTCACTTTCTCCCTTCCTGGTCTTGGGGGAGAGGACAGGGGACTACGCACAGGGTGGGCGCCACTTTGCCACACTGCTGGCGCTGTTTGCCCCGTGCTCCTGGCTGCATACTGTAAGGTTGTGAATATAAGCCGCACTTTAACTTTTATGGTGGGAATTTGGGGAAAAAGTGAGGCTTATATTCAGGCCAATATGGTAGTAGTAATAATAATAATAATAATAATAATAATAATAATAATAATAATAATAATAATGCTGGTTGGTTTATTACCTGTCCTTCACCCTCCCTGTGAGGGAGGCTTGCAACAATTTAAAATGCAACTTTAAAAACAGTGTTACCCAGATTACAACCGCAAGTGTAGGGTGGGTCTTAAAACATACATTGCAGGGGTCAGAGGCAAGGGCGGAAGTGAAGACACTTGATTCAGGCAGTGGATCTGAGACTCCCCCCTCCCCTGTCTTTGTACTGCTGCTGTGTTGTGGCCGCGGCCAGCACAGCCACAGGTGTGGTGATGGGGCTGGCAGCAGTGCCGGGGACCTGGATCTGTGGGGTGTGGTGGGTGTTGTGGGGTGGAGATGGCAGCACTGGGGAGGGGGTGGTGTTGGTACCTTTTGCCTACAACAGCAAAATGTCTCAGGCCGGCCCTGGTCAAAGGCCGGGATGAAGAGGTGCATCTTCAGAATTTGCCGGAAACTTCTATTGAGAGCCAGCGTGGTGTAGTGGTTAAGAGCAGTAGACTCGTAATCTGGTGAACCGGGTTCGATTCCCTGCTCCTCCACATGCAGCTGCTGGGTGACCTTGGGCTAGTCACACTTCTTTGAAGTCTCTCAGCCCCACTCACCTCACAGAGTGTTGTGGGGGAGGAAGGGAAAGGAGAATGTTAGCCACTTTGAGACTCCTTCAGGTAGTGATAAAGCGGGATATAAAATCCAAACTCTTATTCTCTGCCACCCTCCCATGCCCCACCACTGCTTCTTGCTGCCTTGTATCCTTCAACTGACTCAGGCGTCTCACTTGGCAACAGCAGGGCCCGCTTTCTAGGGAAGAGGTGCCCTTGGGGAAAGGGTGACGAGAACAAAATTCATCTGGCAACCAGAAGGGTTATTTGATCTTGCTGCAAGTTACCTGCACAAAGTCACTTTCCAACATGGGAGCAAGCCTGAGTAAGGCGTATTCCCCTTGACTAAGCTGGCTCTGCAATGGTCCCATCTCCCTGTTGAAAAGTCCTTTGCCGTAGTCGCCTCCCGCTGAGACGCTGGGCAGCTGGGATCTCACCGTCTTCCCTCGTCCTGAACCCACAATGGCGTGCAGTTGGGGGAGAAACAGGGAGGAAGAACCTCTGTGAGTTAGACATGCTAGGAAGGCCAATGACCAGCAGGCGAGACAACTGTGAGCCAGTGTGGTGTAGTGGTTAAGGGACTGGAGTGGGGACCTGCGAGATCAGGGTTCAAATCTCCACTCAGCCATGAAGCTCACTGGGTGACCTGGGCCAGTCACAGCCTAGCCTACCTCATGGTTTGGGTTGTGAGGATAAAATGGAGAGGGTGAGGAACTTAGATTTCAGTTTCACATGCTTGGCTCAGGGGAAAAAATGGGTTGGGAGAGTGAGGGAAAGCCATCAGCAATCTTACCCACTATTGAACTCAATCTGGGAGAGTGTTTGGGTACAACTGGACACCATTTTGAATCAAGATGGCAGGCGGAACCTTTCAAAACTGCACTGATTTCAACCACTGATTCCATAAGTGCCCACATTTCTTTTTTTAATTCCTGAGGAACATATGGCACTATAATTCCTGAAGGTCATAAAAAATAACTAAGTTCTATTTCTGCCAGAGAGCCCATCTCCAGCTTTCCCAGAAAGAGCTGGTTGATTTCTGGAATGTACTACTGCAGATGACAGGGGGAGGTGCTATCTATGATCCAGCCTGCTAAAAACACCCCCTGCATTCTGTAAATGCAGGTGTAGAGTAACGGCTAAGAGACTGAGCTACCAATAATGAATTTCCCTATTTGATCCCTTCCAATTCTACAATTATATGATTCTATGAACTCACCAGGAGGCCTTAGGAAAGCCATTCTCTCGCTTTGTTTCTTCCAGAGTCCCTTCATCTGCAGTATAGGGAAATAATACTACTTCTTTATCTCACAGGGGCGTTATAAAGATTACAATGAGGAAATTCATGTGCTTTGAACAGCACTGTACAAATGCTAAGTACATGAGGTTGAAGACTCAGTTGTAGTAGCATCCCCCCTCCCTTGTTTATGGAATGCCCCCCCAAGGAGACCTGCCTGGTTCCAACCTTGGGATGGTTTTGAATTTTCATTTTTCTGGGCAGCAACTAATGATTTGGAATTGTTATCATTGTATTGTTCTTTTTTATTGGCTTATAGCCTGCTTTGGGACTTCTTAATGAGAAGCTATATACAAATTTAATAAACCTAAACCTAATAATGAGGGAGATGGGGAGTTTTCAAAAATATGACCTCTTCTCCTGAATCCCAGAATTCTGACATCTCATTCTGAGCTCAGTCATTCTCACCCAGACTCAGTTTCCCTTTGATAAAATAGACTGAAACTATGCACACTGCTTTGAGCTTTTTGGGCGAAATGCAGGATACAGGAGTATTGTTGGGGGGGGGTGTTCCAGTACTCTCCAGAACTTCTGCTCCACCCCCTTTTAAAAAATCAAAATATACTTTGCTTTACAGGGCAGATTTCCCTCTGAAACTTTGCCTAAATTTGCATCTAAACTTATAAAGGAGCATATGCACAAATATGGCCCATAGTCCTGTGTCTTGATTTGTTTAAGGATCTTGCAAGGCTCCTGGCAGGATAAACTACTGTTAGTACTGCTAATTGTATAATTTGCATCGATAATAATGCCATCAGCTTCTCAGTTCGAGGTGTTTTGATCACATGACCAAAAGGGGATCCCTCCCTTCTATAAACAGTACACATACGCATTTCTGTCACTCACTGAGTTCAGCATCTGAGTGGCGATGTGAATGATCAAATACTTTTGCCCCACCTCCCATAACTTCAGACGCAATGAAGTTTTCAATGGAGTTGGTTTGTGCAGGTTCAGCTCTGCTTCATCAAGGATTGTATAATCAAGTGCACACATCAAGTGCACACATACACACCCATGTGAAGGGCCCCTCTGGGAAACTGTAACAAGCAGTGAGTTCTAATATCCTCAAGGGCATGCTGGGAAATGCTCTCTGGTAAGAGAACAAATGTTTGTGCTTGGGATGTCTGTTGACTATTTCAGTAGCCTAGCACCTGTTTTCCCCCATCTCCTGCAACTGTGTACACACCATACATTTAAAACATATGAGCCTCCCCCCTAAAAAAAAACCCACAATAATCATGGGAACTGTAGTTTTTTGGATGTACTATGAAGGGGTAACCTACAGTTCCCACAATTCTTTGAAGAAGTAATGTGCTTTAAATGAGTGGTGTGTATGCAGCCTCAGAGAGAAAGGCCTATCCTTGCCGTTTATTTGTCTCTAGGGAATAGTCACCATTCATAGGACTTTACAGCCTCCCTTATTAGAAGACCATCTCAGGCAACTGCTTGTAGTAGCCTTGGTTATCACCCTCCCTGCCTCTCTCCCAGAATCCCGCCAAAAATCTCTAGGTCTAGGAGTCACTGACCGTCTTTTTGTAGCTTGTAACATAAGGTCTTCAATGTTAACTCCCCACAGCTGCTGCCTCTGTGCTCCCCCCTCCCTTGGCTTGGGGGATGAATGTTGTGATGTCATCATTGCCTCTATGACCTTTTTAGCCCAGGCCTTAATGGGTGGCTGGGGTAAAGAGGAAGGGGTTAGCGGCGAGGAGTCCGTCTCCACTCCCTGGACTGGTAGGTTCAGGATCTGGGCTGGTTCTCTTCATGACACATGGTGCGTATGAACTTAGGAAGTGGCTTTATTGGAGTCAAACCACTTGTCCATCTAGCTCAATATTGTCAACACGGACTGGCAGCAACTCTCTGGGGTTCCAGGCAAGGGTATCTCACCACCCCACTTGGAGACGGCAAGGATTGAACCGGGGACCGTCTGCACGCAAGGCAGGTGCTGAGCCTTGGTGGTGCCTTTCCCTCCAATGAAGGCTAGAGTAAAAAAAAGGTAAACAGACTGTGCTGCTGGAAAGCTGCAGCCAACGTGTGGTTTCCCTCTCTTCCCTCCTAGAACCCCAAACTTTCTCAGCTTCCTAGTCCAACCCTCTTCTCTCCCCAGATCCCTTTCCTGCTATGGTGGTGATCAGGTGTGATGGAGGAAGACAGAGCTCCTGTAGCTTTGGCTAGACAAAGGGATGAAAACAGGTGCGGCCTTTATCCCCTCCCACTAGGCAGAATGAGGTCATAGAGTCATAGTCAAAGAATCATAGAGTTGGAAGGGACTACAAGAACCATCTGGTCCAGCCCCCTGCAATGCAGGAATCTTTTGCCCAACAAGATTAAGAGCCTTGTGCTCTACTGCCTGATCTGACTGCTTCAGGCAAATTAGGACCATAGGAAATTACCTGACACTGAGGCTGATCATTGGTTTATCTAGCTGAGTATTCTCTATACCAGGGGTCAGCAAACTTACCGCGCCTTGGGCGGTGTCTCCAGCGCCGATCGCGCGGTGGGCCGGAGGGCAGGGGAGTTCTGGGTCAGAGGAGCACTGGAAATAGCTTGTGCGTATGTGCATGGGCCTCCTCGGACCTGGATGTGCACTGGAAATAACGCTCATGCGCAAATAACGTATGCGCACAAGCTATTTCCAGTGCTCCTCCAACCCAGAAGTGGGTAGCCATGCAGCACAGCGCCAGTAAAAGCGGGTGGCGGCAGTGGGTGTCGTCGTGGACCGGATAAACGAGTCCCTCGGGCGTTATCTGGCCCACGGGCCTTAGTTTGGGGACCCCTGCTCTATACTAATGAGCAGAGGCTCTTCAGATTTGAGCCTTTCCAGGCCTTCCTGGAAATGTCACAGATTGCACCTGGACCTCCTGTATGCAAAGCAAATGGTTTGCCACAGAGCTACAGCCCTTCCTGAAAATGATCTGCGTGATCCTTGCATGTTTGTTTTCCAGCGATGGGGAGAGGAGGGCTTTTCTGTCCAAGGTACTGAAATAACTTGGCCAGCCTTGCTGATCTGCCTCAGGCAGCACCTTGGGGCCACCCTGTGAACCTACCCAAATGGCCTTGGAATACCTGTAGATATAGAAACCTGTGCACAACGGGAGATATTGCAAATGGTCTCTGAGAGCACCCGCTGCCCTAAGCCAGATGATGCTAAGGAGATCTGAGGAAAGACGGCCTGGGAACTCACAGCCTTGAGGTCCACGATGGAAGCAAGATAAGATAGAGAATTACTAAGTAGAATAATCCTGCTGAAGTTATTTCTTCTTCCTTTAATGTGTGTTCAGATTCCTGAAGTGGAACCACTCTGAGAGCAACTTCAGCTGAAATGCAGCATCAGTTCCAATTGCAAATCACTGCCCCTACCAAATTTCAAGGTGAGTGAAAAGCAACCTGGGTCAACAAATAGGCAGCAGATTAACTAAGGCTGAGCCAAAACCACCCCACTTCCCCCTTTCCCCAAAATATACACCCCTTGCAAAAATGGTAACTGATTTTCTGCTCCTTTGGGGGTTTGGGAGGATCAATTTATCTCACTTGGGGTGGGTGTGTTGCCACTTAACTTACTGAGGGCTTATCCACACTTCATTTTGTCCCACTGTTTCCCTCCCCCCACCCAGGGGTGGGGTAAACCACTCTTTAGCACTCAATCGGAGCAGCAATATGGGTTGATGTTTTCTCTGTTTTAGAGCCATAGCTAAAGAGTGGGTCTTCCTTTGGAAAGGAACCAGGCAAGGGGGACAACTGCTCAGAAGCATGCCTAGAAAGAGCAGTTCAAGTGGGAAACTGCTCAGACTCATGCTTTCTAGGCAGAGGATAAGCAGAAGTGTGGACAGGCCCCTAGTCTCTTGTCCGTAAGTTCAGCAGATGGAAAGATGGAGAGGGAGTCTCACATGTGGCTTCACTTCCCAGAATGCCTTGGGAGTGATGGGATGAGACATGGCAGCGCTTCCTAAGCCTTCCAGGAACTGCACCCCGTGGGAAGCAACAAAGAGTGTCTTTTGCTGCTGTTCCCAGCTATGGACATTTTTTTTTAAGTTGAAACAAGCAAGGAAAAAATAGATCATGGACTATCTTGGTGTTTTGTTTTGTTTTTTGGCTAAATAATTTTTATTTACTTTTACATTTATATCATAGTAATATCCAATAACATAACGTACATTTTCTAAATCTCCCCCATGACTTCCCTCAACTTCCTCTTCTGTTTTTTTTAACATATAAATTTCCCTGCTTATTTTGTTAACTCTTGAAATTAAACTTAACTTACATGTTATTATCCTCTTACCATTCTAACATTAATTTATATTTTCTATATCTATATTGATTTTGTCCATTGTAAGTGTTTACTCAAAACCTCCTAGTGAGTCCAGTTCTTTACATTGTTTCTGTAAATACAGCATGAATAACCATTCTTTTAAAAAAGTCTCTATTGGCCTTGTCTCTTAATCCTTTGGTTAGCTTTGCCATTTCCATGTATTCTGCCAGTTTTTCTTGCCATTGTTCTTTAGCTGGTATTTCATCGCTTTTCCATCTTTGGGCCAGTAATATTCTAGCTGCTGTTGTCGCATACATGAAAAGTTTCTTCTGATCATGGACTACCTTGTAAAGCTGAGGAAGGTAAGTGAACATTTCAGAAAAATCCCCTCTCCTGATTTTTCAGGAGGGTTTAATTTCTCCCCAATCACCTAATGAATAGTTGAAAACGTCGGTCTTGGAATTTTCAGCACAGCTCTAGTATTAACTATACTCATCAGAGCAGCGCTTCCGCCATGTCGGGTCCCGTGGTTAAACTATTATTGCTGGATAGCAAAAGTCACCATTCTTGGCCACGAAAATGATTTCAAGCCCCCTCTCTTCAATATGCCTTTGCTTCCCCCACACCTCCTCCTCCTTGCCGGAGTGAGCATCTCATTCTCAGCAGCTAATGAAGAAGAAGAAAAATGCCTTGATAGGAAAATAGTGGAGAGAGAGAGATTGGCAGGCAGAATCTTGAGGAGAGATGTAATTGACCTGGAATTGAAAAGGATGAGCACTGTCTAGGCGAGGCAATGGGGTGGAGGGAGGCAGATGTGGCTGGTCTGAAAATTATGATACTACAGAAGGCAACAGGGCTGCTCCGAAACTTTTTTTCGAATCAGCCAGGGACAAACAATACTGAAGAGGTATTACGTGACTCTGCAAAGAGATTGCCACTCTTCTCCCCCCCCCCAAAACCCCACAATGTCTTTGTGGCTTGGCAGGTGCATGACAGGCCGGAATTCAACAGGCAGCACACCAGTCACTGCAGCTGGGAAATCAATGCCTGGGAAAGCATTGCCTGTTGAATTTCAGCCTGTCACAGAGCTTTTAAAAATAACAGATCTTCCATCTGTGTCGGAGAGGGCCAATTCTAATCAATCTGGCTGGTGTGTGGGTGTGCGTTTTGGAGGATATTGGGTGTCTGGTGTTTTTCCTATAACAGGAAATAGAAAAAGGTGGGGTGGAGGGTGGGGGGGAAGGAACCATTTACCTCCCAACATCTATAAGTGGCAGATTTTGTTTATTGTAAGTTAGTTATCACCCTACTTCCTTTTGCTATCTGAAAATGGCACTTATATTGACGCTTTCCCAGCATGCAAATGTATTTAAAAGTAATCAGTTGGTGAAAAAGACAAATTAGTTGACTGAAATTCTTCTTAGTTGGCTGGAAACCCGGTACATATGAAAGGCAGGTGAGCATCCTGTGGTCCGTATGCTGGCAGGAACCCCTCGCTTCAATAAGTAGGAGGGTGCAGGGATGGTTAGAAGGAAGCCTTTGACTGCAAAGAAGCGGAGGTGTTTCAAAACAGCAGTTTGAGGCAGTCTGCTGCGGCTCCATCCCTGGTGCACGACCAAGGACGCCTTTCAAGCTGATCCACCTGACACCATGTCAAGCAAAGCAATAGGCAGGAGAGACAGATGAAAGCTGAGGAAGATGTGGGTTGACAGGATGCAATCGACAATTATTAAGCCCCGCTGGAAGATTCCGGGGGGAAACAGGCACAAGGTTGCTGAGAGCTGAGGAGGCCGCTTACCTGTCTCATCTTTCTGTAAAACGGCACATTTGTACAGCCCCCGTCGCTTTTCGCTCTGCAGCCCAGTTGGTTATATCAATTGTGCCAGAAATGTAGTAAATGCTTCAGCTGAAAGGCAGCATTCTTTTCTGCGGAACCTTCCGGGGACTTCTGAGGCAACAGTAAGCTGAGCAATGGCTGCTACGCTTACTTTTCTACTCTTCTAGCTACACAAAAGTTAGAAGTTTCTGTACACACACACACACACACACACACACACACACACACACCTAACCTCCAGCCATGCAAGCAAGAGATATTGCCATGGTTCAAGGGCACATTCCAGCCAGGCAAAATCGCTTGAGGAATGGGGAAAGCAGGGCCTGTCAGAGGAGCGGCCTGAGGAAAATGGGATGCAAAGAGGTTGTGGTAGACTTGTAAAATGTGGTAGACTTGTAAAAGGGTAAAAGAGTATTGGGAAATAATCCATAATGAATTGAAAAAAATGTTTAAAAGTACTCCCCCCACAAAAAACCCCCCAGAGACCAATTTGTTGAGGATAATTCATACTGAAATTCCCAGGTGTCAAAAAAGGTTATTTATGTATGCCACTACCGCGGCCCGTGTTTTGTTAGCCCCAAAAAGGGAAACGAGTGAGAAAAAGAAAATGATTCTGGGAATTCCCTGAGCATCTTTTTCTAGTGAAAGACCACCTGCCCACTGTGACTTTTTGAATTGCAGGATTCCCTGGCTGCAGGGATCAAGGACACAATGAGAAAGAGCGTGGACACCTCTGGTTCCTCAGAGTGCAAGTAAGTGGGAAGGGCACAAGATACCTGGTGTGTGTGTGTGTGTGTGTGTGTTCGTGTGAGCAAGATAGACCCATAAAAATGAGTGGCGAGAGCAAGAAGCTCTCAGAGGATGGTGTTGTGAATGCAGCACAACCTCTGAGGCCAAATGGGGGAAGAAGGAGGAACCTTTGAATCAGCAGGTGAAATTCAGAATAGTGGCAGGGGGAACGGCCCGTGTTTTGTTAGCCCCAAAATTAGAAAATGAGCGAGGTCCCAACTAAAGAAGAATGGCAACTTAAGCTGACGGAATATGCGCAGCTTGCAGATTTAACATATAGAATAAGAGAACAAGAAGAGGCCAGGGATTGAATCTGGGACCTTCTGCATGCAAAACAGATGTTCTCTTCCTGAGCTGCAGCCACCCCTCCCTTGAGTGGGGCCCAAGAAGAGGTTTGCATCACAGTCCCCTGCTAAAACTGAGTCGTCCTTCCCCCCCATCCCCTCATCGTTTTACCTGCACAGGACCTGTTGCTTAAACAATGCCTCCATCGTAACGGGGGTTCCATGCAAACTCCTTCCTGAAACAGAAAGAGATGAACATTGACATCTCTTACTAAAATGGATTTCTGTCCATTCTTTTAGCAGGGGATTCCATGGAAGCCTGCATGGAAACCCCTGCCGAAACATTGGGAGAAAAGTCTTTCACGGCGACTCTGATGCACACCCATCCCTGAACCAGTCTGAATCCTGCTCGGTTTGATTGCAGGCTCCTGTTCCTCCCACCCCTCCTGTTCATACTGCCCACCTCACAAGACCATTTTGGCTTCAGCAGTGAAAGGCGAGGAGGAGGCAGGTGGTGATAGAGCAAAACAGCTAGGGAGCTGCAAAGCCTGTCCTTACAGTTCCTCCATCACTTGGGCCTCTGTCTCTGTCTGCATCTCCCTCCACTCTCTCCCTTCTCATCAGTGTCCAATGCGGCTACAATGGCGAAGCAGCGCTAGGAAATCTGTGGTGATACTGTGCTGGTAAAGTGAACTGCAGTGTGACAACAGTCTTACAGGGCCTCTCCTCCTCCCAGAGGGGAGGGGTTGTGAGCGGGAACAGCTTCCTGCTGGGGCAGGGAGGCGTGCTCGGCTGGAATATGTGTGCTGTGTTGGAGGATTGGGTATGCGCCATCATCTACCCCTCCTCTTTTGGGTATTCCATTAAAGGAATCCGGGAGTCGTGGATCCTGTCTGATGCCCTGCTGGTGGCAAGGGCAATGGCATGACCCCCGGTGACGTCATGGGGGAGCTTCCAGTTGTATTTGCATCAACAAGCTCCTCCCATTGGTTGTGGGGTGGAGTCTGGTATTGCTGTTTCATCCAATGCCTAAGCCAATACTACTCACATGCTGTAACCAATAAAAGTTGTGGCCTAATTTTGCACATTAACCTAAAATAATGTGTCTTTGTGTCTTACTATACTGCTATGCAGGTGGCGGGTCCTCGACTCACAGAGAGAGAGAGAGAGAGAGAGAGAGAGAGAGATTTCCTATGAGAAATCTCTAAACCATTTAATAGATTTAGACACACACACACACACATTCTGGTAAGGCTGTCTCCATGCATACCATTCCAGCTGCTCTTTGCTGGGTGCGGTCTGTTGGGCAAGAGGGCAACCTCCAAGAGAAGACTGCCCTGGCGCGATTGCCTGCGTTTCCTCTTGGCATCGCATGCTATGCTGCTTCTGAGGTTCCAGCGATACCCTCTGGAGCGGCAAATCAGCAAAAGAGTTGACTTCAGCTTCTGTCCCACAAGATTTAGTGCAGGAGAGTCGCTCTATATTTGTAGGAACAATAACCGTGATATTTATAGGACAAGCCCAGCCAAAATGCTTTGGTTTCTCTTTTTTTCTCTCCCTCTGCTTCCCCTCCCCCCCTTGCTTGGCAGAACTGGAGAATCTCATCTCTCTCCCCATTCCCACGATTCCACCATCAGCTGCTGCAGCTGGCAAAATTTATAACTCCTGAGGAAGTGCAAGCAGCAAGGGGAAGATGAACGGTGTCTTACCTGCCAAGCAAGCTAGCCAAAGGGCTCCATGATTGACTGCCACAGTCAGCTGCCTCTCCCGACTTCGCTCCGCAAGTAATGATCCATCCTAAACATCTGCTGTTGAGCAGCAGGAATCAATGGCACCCGGCCAACATTCTGTGCTTCTGATCATGTGCAGAGTGCATTTCCCTCATTGCTCGGGAATCACAGCTTTTAATCTATTTTATTGTTTAGTAACAATCTATTCTTTTATTTAGGGATGCGGGTGGCGCTGTGGGTTAAACCACAGAGCCTAGGACTTGCCGATCAGAAGGTCGGCGGTTTGAATCCCCGCGACGGTGTGATCTCCCGTTGCTCGGTCCCTGCTCCTGCCAACCTAGCAGTTCGAAAGCACATCAAAGTGCAAGTAGATAAATAGGTACTGCTCCGGTGGGAAGGTAAACGGCGTTTCCGTTCGCTGCTCTGGTTCGCCAGAAGCGGCTTAGTCATGCTGGCCACATGACCCGGAAGCTGTATACCAGCTCCCTCGGCCAATAAAGCGAGATGAGCGCCACAACCTCAGAGTCGGTCACGACTGGACCTAATGGTCAGGGGTCCCTTTACCTTTACCTATTCTTTTATTTATTTTTTAAAAACCAATGTTTTTCAGAAGAAATTCAGGGCGGCCAACAGTCATAAAACAATCCATATTTCAAGCAAATTGCATGTTGAAACAGTAACTCAAAAAACATTTTTGTGATGATAATTGCAATTTAAGAGGCCCAACTAGAGGCGACGCTGAGAGACTTTGTGAGCTCCTTGTGGGATCAGCTCAGATCTCCATAGCCCAATCTGCCCAGATCATGTCTCCATATTTCTGGAGATCCACATTATTTTTTTTTGCCTCAGACGTTTCAGGCAGGTGGTTGCTAGCAAATTTTCAGTCAGAGGAAGGGCTCCTCCGACTGCATAATCCCGAGACTGCTTTGCCTGGGTTAATTAAAACTAAATATAGACCCTGCCGGCTGGGCAAATTGCAAGGGGAGTTTCAAAGTGTCTGAGTATTTCTTCCACCTACTTTCACCTGGAGCAGAGCTCTTTGGGATGCCGTTCAAAAGTGTGAGGGGAGAGAGAGAAAGCAGGGAGAGACTATTCTGGGATGCCTCTGTTCTAAAACAGGGTGGAGGAGAGGAGGGCGGATGCAGAGCCCTGTAGGAATGAAATCATGTTGGCTGGAGAGAACCTCTTGCTGCCTTCATCGGCTAGTCTTCAAATTTGGCCGGGCAAAATCCAGTCCCCTGAGGAATGAGGACTGGCTGGCCTACTGAGGGCAAGGCCTTTCCAGCAATTGCAGCCAGTTAGAACAATGCACACCCTCTCCCCCAAGTGACATTGCTTATTCTCTTTTAGCCCTTATGAAGGAGGCAAAATTCTTGGCTGATTTACTTGCTTGCTTTAGATTTAGATTTGCTCGCTCTGCCGTTTTGTATAAGCTTGACTTTGATTCAGTTTTAATTAGCACTGTTATTTCATTGTGATATATATTTATCTAATCTTTTAGGACAATTTTATTGCCTTGTGGACCCAGTTTGGGATGCAAAAGCATGATAGGAATGTATTTCAGATTAATTGGCCAATACTGGCGTGCTGTTTGTATCATCAGGTCGTAGATAGCTATGCATCTGATTGCTGCATTTTTAGGCAGGGAATGTGCCTCCCTCCATCAATTGCTTATTGGAGAAGCCCCTTCAATCTTATTTATGACTATCAACCTAGAATTGTTTTTAATGTGTGAGGGGTTTTTTAATGCTCAGTGTTTTATGGTGTTTTTCTATATGCTGGAAGCTGCCCAGAGTGGCTGGGGCAGCCCAATCAGATGGACAGCCTATTATTATTATTATTATTATTATTATTATTATTATTATTAGGTTTTGAGTCTCTTTGAGGTATGCAGCGATTTTTGTAATTAATATCTTTTAAACAAGTTCCTAATCTCTTCTTTCTTGCATTTCATGTCTTTCTTTAATAAAAAAATATTTTTAGAAAATGTCTATAGAGCTAGAAAGTAGCAAAAGGCCATTTATTCGAAAGGACTACTTGTCCGAAGTGTGAGAGGTGGGGGTGAGCACCCACCCTTAGCCCCGCACAACCTTCAGAAACTGGACAACAGTGTGTCTTGCCAGCACCCAGTGATCAGTAATCTCTGGGCTGGTTGCAGTCATTCAGCAGTGCCGGAAGAATCATTCTGTACCTGCTCAGGCGTAGTCAATATGATGAAGTGGACCCTAGTCCACGAAAGCTTGTGCTATAATAAATCCATCTGTCTTTAAGGTTTCCCCAAGGCTCTTGCTTGTTTTTCCTGTGAAATACTAACAGTGCTGCTCCTCTGGAAATATTACAAGCTTCAGGGCTAAAACTGGGATTATAAACAAACAGATTCTGGACCTGAACACCTGAGCAAATAGAATCCATTCCTTCATAAAGTTTTCACAGTATGGTTAGAGTTTCCTAAGCTTGATGCTGACCTATCAGTGATACTGTGGTTGATTTTATTATTATTATTTTTATTGCAATGGGGTTGGACTAGATGAACTTCAGCGTTCTTTCTAACCGCACAATTGTAAAATCCTGCTTTTTGCCCTGTAGACTTTCTTGTGGCATGATCAGCTGTCCTGCCGTGTCCTGGAAGGCATGCCTGCAGGTGCAGCACCACGGACAGCTCCGAGTGAGCAACTTGCTCCAGCAAACCCTGGAGTTGGATGGAGGGCCTTTTATGCCTCTAGTTTGCCCCTCCCAGACTCCGCCCCTTTCTTGATGATGAATGGAGGGCCTTAAAGGGGCAGGCTGGGGTGTAACACGTCTCTCAGAAAACACCTTCCTAGTTTGTGACAGGCCTACTTGGCAGTGCTTCCCTTGTGTAGAGAGGATTGCTTCCTCAAGAGATTCATATTCTGAGGGTCCAGGTTCTGAAGATCCCAATTTAGGGGTCCCTGGTGCAAGGACCACCAAACCACAAGGTTCTAGAGCTTAGGCCCAGTTGTGATGATGAGCCCATGTTGATTTCTAGTGCCTCTGCCTCCACTGCCCTTGGGCTGCTGGACTGGATCAGTCAAACCAATCCAGTTTATTGAAATGAACTTGACAGCTATTGAATGCCCTCAGCTAGCTGGCCGACAGTTCAAGGATCTGTTAGAGTTAGTGCTATGAGCTGTTCATCTTATGCTCAGTTGGTACAGATGTGCAAATAAACCATGTGTCACTCTGACAGCATTCTCCTTTTAGAAAAAGGGGGGGGGTCTCAAAGTTGCTCACTCTCTTTCAGTTGTTTCTTGAGCCACACCTGAGAGTTGGCATCTGGGTATTAGCTACTGGCTCAGATGGGGTTAAAGAGCGCTTGTTGCACTTCATGCAGAAATAGGCAGAGACTATGGTTTGGGCACCTTACATTTATTTTGTATTTTATTTATTCACTGGTTCATTTGCACCATTTTTAATCCTGCTGAAAAGCTGGAAAACTCCCAGAGAGCAGCTTGCATGAGATAACGAACACACAATAAAATCCCTGCCTGCAGGCTTACAGTCAAAAAGGTGTGGCACAAAATGAACAAGGGATGAGGAGGAAAGAGGAAGACAAGCAAACTCAAGCACCGGTTCTTAAATGTACAAAACTGTTCTGAGCACCACCAGGGATGGAAAACCGTTCAGGTAGGTAAGGTAAAAAGGTAAAGGACCCCTGGATGGTTAAGTCCAGTCAAAGGCGACTATGGGGTTGTGGCGCTCATCTCGCTTCAGGCCAAGGGAACCGGCGTTTGTCCACAGACAGCTTTCCAGGTCACATGGCCAGCATGACTAAACCGCTTCTGGCACAACAGGACACCGAGATGGAAACCAGAGCACACGGAAACACCGTTTACCTTCCCGCCACAGCAGTACCTATTTATCTACTTGCACTGATGTGCTTTTGAGCTACTAGGTTGGCAGGAGCTGGGACAGAGCAACGGGAGCTCGGCCCTTTGCAGGGATTTGAACCGCCGACCTTCTGATCGGCAAGCCCAAGAGGCTCAGTGGTTTAGACCACAGTGCCACCCACATCCCAGTTCACATAGAGGAGAGGCCAAATGGAGCAGTTCTTTCAGCAGAACTTGACGGTGTGGTCCAGTGCTATAGCCTGAAGGCATTTTTCGGCTGCCAAATGACAGCGACACACTACAGAACAAATCAGAGACTGTGTGTGTGTCATCCCCCAGTTGCATTTTAAGACTTCCACTCGTTCACACCAGATGCTGCTCTGGAAAAGAAAACCCCCTTTCAAAAACGAGTTCCTATAAGCAGAGGAAAGAAACCCAGGACGCTATTTAAGTAGCAGGACCGGGAGCCGAACAATACGACACAGTGTAAATTTTCATTATTCTGCTCTGTGTGCAGAATTCATTTGCATCCCCTGCCTTGCTTGCTGCTGGCAGAGGAACAAAAGGGCGGCTTGTAAAAGGAGGCCTCTGTGGCAGGTTTAGCAAAGCTTAATTTAATCCTTTGGTAAGTCAAGGTGGCCTAAGGCTTTGTGTGACAACAGCACAATTAGGGGCCAACCCTGGAGTGGCAAGCATGGAGAGATCAGCCTGAAAAAGATTTGCCTGGTCTGGGGCTTCCTCCTCCTCCGCCTTCTCCTCTGCCTCCTCACTGGAGATCTGCGGCCAAGAGTTCCACTGCTCACGGAGGCAGAGATGCAGGCCAAGGTGATGGATGGAAGCATCCATTCTCCTAGCCTGGCGAGGCAGGCTTTTCCTCTCAAGGGGACGCCTGGGTAATTAGCACTGAATCCTAAGCACTTTTAATTAAACACTAAAGTTCTCTGAGCCATCTGCTTTCACCACAAATTTGCTCACTAGTCAAGTCGCTGGTAGCAGGGGAGGGATTTGAATTGTTATATTTTTTTTCTTTAGACAGCAAAATCCAGCTTTCTAATTCTCTCCGTGTTTAACTGGAGCCACGCTGACTCGCCGGGCCCGGCTTAGACTGGAATATCCAAATGCTAGAGTCTGCTGCTAAAACAAATGAACTCGAGGAGAGCATATGTGAGCATGTGCAGAGTGTACCTTCCCTGTCAGGTCTGGATCCACAACTAGACACTTACATATCTGGGCTGAGAGGCAAGAGATAGTGAGGTGGGGTTCCAGGCAGGCTGAAAAACAGTACTATTGTGGATCTGATATATATATATAATTGGGGTTGACTTTTACAGCCCAACTGTCCGTCAAGGGACTCAGTATCCCCTAAGTCCATTATCG